TGAATGAGAGAGAGAGAGAAAGAAGAAAGAAAAAATTTACAATTTCTAGGCTGTCAGCAGAGATATTCAAACTTTTAAATTTACCGAGATTTTACATATCAATACAATATAATATATAACAAAAACACTTTCCTTTTTCTCTCTCTCTGTCTTAATCAAAATACTAAAATGAAAAAAATCATACGTATTTAAACTCGACCATCATATTCAAAGGTTAATAAAAGGCAGCCTCGTTTCACTCAACTGAGAATACTTCATTTCTGAAACTGACTTGGAAGATCGTCCTTGCGAACAGTGAAACAACACAACACCGAGCAGCTGAAATTTTGATGGCATGAGACTTTTCATCCCAATCTCTTAATCTTAATGCACTTAATACGGTAACATCTGACATTCTCCAATTTTTATAGTTTTACAATTCAAAATACAATTCTTGACCCTGGTTCATTTTTCTTCAATGCATGCACATTTTTACAGTTCCAACACATGGAGAAATGTGACTGAAATGGTGAATGGTGGTGTACAAGACATAGAGGAACAATTGAGTGAGAATTTAGAAGAGTATCCTAATTCTTATCCTATCAGTATGTTAATAAGAACACTTGAATAATATTGATAAACTCGTACAGAATTAACAGGCCATAGTAATCATATTCTGGTTTTTATCTGAACAGTCTATTATAAGATCTCTCTCAAAATACAAAAGAACTTTAATCACAAAAAAAAAAAAAAAAGTATTGGGAAACAAACGTAAAACACTGCATTGCTGAGGTGTACAATACAACAGTGAATCACAGATCTGAAGCAATACTTTCTTCATGATGATAACCAAATATGATTGTACAACTGTTCCCCAAAACCTATAAACTCCTTGGAAAAGAGTCAAGTATTCATGGTAGTTTTATGTGCTATGAAGAATTTCACTGTGACAACTGTTATTATCTTTAATAACTGTTGTTTACCTGTTTACCTGCATGCAATATCCCTTACAAATGAACCTCTGTTATCATACCATCTGAATTTAACATAATAGTTATAAAACTCAAAATCTGAGCAACACTTCCTAGTGCTACCCATATTCCCTGCGGATTTTTTTCTTAAAGCGTTTGACGGAAATGTGAGACTAGTAGTCCTCACTATTGCCTCTGCAGAATAAGTCTCTGAATCTGACTGATGAAATATGTACACACTCAAAAATAGTTTTTACCTTTCTCTATGAAATCACAGAAAACTACTTCCTAAATATGGACTGTACAACTCTACGTAATATAAAAGCCCTTTCTCAACACTGTAGTTTCATTTAATTCTCTTTTTTGACATGGCATGTGACACTTACCCTGTTTTGGTTATTTTTGATATAACACCAAATTTCCAGAAGTGGCTAAAATGAAGACATCTTTCCAGTTATAAAGAAAAAAATTAAAAAGCCATTCAAATTGTAAAATGTCACTTATTTCTTTAAACTGTTTATCTATATTTTCACAATTCCTCCTACTATTAATTCTTTTGTCTGTTCTTTTTTTTTTAATTCCTGCTAAATTGTGAATTCTATCAGAAATTCCTCTCTGTTTAAAAGTTTACTTACATCATCAGTTCCCACATTCATGTCCCAAAGCTAGCTCATCAAAGGATTAAATGCACAGCAAATTTCACGGTAAAAATTATACTGTTAATCTCCTGTTTGGTCAATGCCAGGCACTGTGTCCATTGCTTCACCAAGTTTCGAGGAGTGAAAAAGTTACACATTGGTCGAGCATCTTCACCAGCACAGCAATCAAAGCAAGTGTCAGGTGATTACATAAAGCCCAAAAATTTGGCTTCAGTTGGCAGGTACAAATGAGGAAGAGTATTCTTTAAGGCCACATCCAGGGGAAGTTTCCAAACCAGTTAAACATGTGAGCACACCGCTGTCTTGTGCGACGATGCTCTTAACCACACACCTTTCATGCACACCTGTCAAGCTTTTCAGTCACTTGATTAAGCAAACACTTTAAAATTCACTTGATTTGGCATATCTTATCCAGAGCTGAATAGTAAAAGGAGAATTACTGGGAGCATCATAACATTGTGTTTCAGTATCTGTAACTGGGTTTGATCGCCACCTGAATACAACTCTTAAGCCTTCCCTTTTACTTTTAAATCCTCTGTCTTACATGTCTACCTCATGGAGGAAAACAAATAACCCCTAGCTTGTTCCTGGCTTGACCCAGTAACAACTATAACCTCCACTGCACATTTTTGTTACACAATGGCAAAATGATTACCCACATTTGGTAAGTACAGCCTCTGCTTTGCAAAGCTAGAGTTCTTCTTCATTAACTTATTCAACAGCCTAGCAAATGAAAAATCACTTGTTTAAGAGCCTTGCAAAATCAAAATTGCTTTTGGCTAAGTCCACAAGCACAATATCCATTAATAATGCTTAGATTACGCCAAGCACAGTTCATAATATCACGACATGCTGCCATCTCAGTCCAGGTTATGAGAGGCATTACAAAAT